ACGTAGGCTTAAAAAAGGGCACGGAACTTTACCAGAGATGCTTCCTACTGGAAGAGGAGAAAACCATATGAGGAGGAAAACGGGCAAATTGCATAGTTTTACGGGTCAGATGTAGTCAGAAGGATATGTCTCGCAAAGAAAGACGATGTATATGTGAGAGATGAAAATAGCGTTAACGTGAAAAATAAAAAAACGAAAAATTCTGGGCAATCTGTGTGGTATTTACCAGCTGTATCAGGAAGACGAGAGTGATCCACGAGTCAGATTATCCAGGTTCGGTAGTTTATAAGGAAGACGAGAGTGATCCACGAGTCAGATTCTCCAGGTTCGGTAGTTTCCGCCCGAAGCACTGTGTCCTGATGGGTGGCAGCGGCACTCACGCGGTTTGTTGTCTCCAGAATGCGAAACTGACAGCAGGATCCTTTGGCCTGTGAGATGTAACTTATGAGGGTATTCTGAGAGACGCCGTGTGTGATGTTCTCAGGGAATCCTACGTGATGCGTGAGTGTGAGAACTGCACGAGTCAGGATGGTTTGAGATTTGGTCGATGAAATGGTCGATTTGATGGTCGATTTGGCCTGTTCTCCCCTGAGAACAGGGGAGATTTGAGATTGGGTCGATGAAATCAGATTCAGCCTGTGAGCAAGCACCGACCGCTACACTTTAACTAAGCTCGTTCTGCAAATGGATCCATTTTTGGCCAAACTGTCCGAAGCCATGGTTGCATTGAATAGACGTGATTTGCCGGCTTAGCACCAGGACAAATTTTTCGATGACCTGAAAAACGACTGTCCGGTAGTAAAGCTATGCTAATGTTGCACTTTACAGAAAAGTACACCTTCATCGTCCAAGACGAAGTTCAGCAGATTACGGATAAAAGTTGTTGCGCGCTGTCAGACGCCATGAAACGTAGTTGTATTGCGGTCCATGCGATTCTACAATGCTTTTTACCGGAAGTAAAAAGCCTCGTTTCAAATTTGGAAGAAGTGGTTACTCTTCAGATGAATCAGCTTGGTAGTACAAGAACAGGTTCCATTTTTGGAACATTTGCTTTCATGAGGAGACCCTGGCTAGAAGTGCAAGTGGCACTACCTTGCCACATGACATGGAAAGAACTCTTGCGACGGGGTTGGAAACCTTGAAAAGGGTTGCTGCCAATGTCAGCCTATCGTGCCTTCATTTCGATGATATTCTCTCTGCTGAGAAGCTGTGCCGGTTTTTGTGGGGCAAGGCTTATGGGCACATGGTGTGTTTCTTCGCAACAAAAAAAAGAAGTCCTGCAGACAGAGGATGAGCATAGCACCCGATTGGCTACGGCCAAGGCTGCCAAAGGAACACACTAGTTTGGCAGCATAAGCCCAGTGAGAGCCCTGACTGTCATTGTCCGTGAGTTAGCGCCAGGAGTTGGGAGGCAAGTAGTGGTAGCTTGATTTCGGGTTTCGATGAGTGAGTTAGCCTGAGTTACTGGCGCACTGAGTCAACTTCCGCGTTCATGTGAGTCATCGTGTTGTTAAGTGTTGTCTTACAATGCGCTCATTTTCTTTTCAACACAAATCTCCGTATTTAATGTTTTTGTTGTTTTTCTCCCATCTCTTTAAGAAGATCACAGATGAACGGAAGAATCATTCGCCTGGTTTACGGCAGCAGAAGACAACATGAAGGCTCCAGGCTTGACCCGACACGACGGGATTGGCTGAGTGTGTCGTAAGCACAGAGTACTGCGTCCCCAGGCCAGGGGGCACCTGCATCAGAACTCAGCAATCGCCATCAATGCTGCCAACTCATGTCACCTGTCGCCACCCTGTCATAAACGACCCCTCCCCCTTCCGCAGCCTGCCGCCGCCTGTGCCGAAAGACGCGGAAACATGGCGCCGGCAGCCAACTGCTGATGGCGCGAATGAAGCATAGCTCCTCATTGTGACACGTTTCCAACCCTTTCCAAGCCGATAACCGCATTTTGAAATATTAGTTTGTGGGATTTAAACTGCGCTATTCCAAATACAAAGGAGAAAGGTTCAAAATCGCATAGGAAAATGCTTTTTCATGAATTACAAATGTTTTAAAGACACAAGCACCATTTGCTGTGCAGTGACCACTCCAAACACGACATACACTTGGTCTGAAAGGGTTCTGAATCATTTTCGCGCATAGGTTTGTACGGTTTCTTCCATCATAGCGAAAAAATCGCCGCCGAACGTAGCCATTCAACCACAGTCACCACTTGTGTGAGCCATTTACGCAACTGTTGCCATGCGACAACGCAAATTCCGCCCTTCGCGAGTGAGTTATTGATGGTAGTCGTAGTCCAAATGTTGTTCAGCTCCACCATAGCCAGTCAATAAAGCCTGGCACGGCTTTGTTACGTCAGCTTTCCTCGAAGCCGGTAACAGTGCAGCATATGACCGAGACAGCCTGAGCAGTGGCGGACCTGCAGCCTGCTAGCAATTTGGAACAACCAGGCCGGAAATAGCTCCACTGAAACACGCTCCACCGCCGCGAGATCCGGCATTTTGCTGGCATTCTGAAGTCAACTGTCAGAAATTATTGTCGTCAGAGTTATGTTTTGCTCTTGTTCAAGCGCACATGACTGAGGTGCGCGGAAAGACGTCTGGTGGACGATCAGCCGCCCGCAGTCCGCTGGCGGGTGTTAGAAACATGATGCACTCACACACGGTGGGAAGTGCGCAGAGATCGTCTCCGGAAGTGACGGAAGGGCGCTGGACTCGTTATACGGCGGCAGCGGATACGACTCCCAGAGAGCGGACGCATTAATTGGTCTGACTGACGTGGGTGGAGAGGTCAGCTGGCAAAAGGGTCAGGCCACGCCTGGGGCGTCCGCGCCGTGGCGCTACGCGGTATGGGAAGCACTCGGCAGATCTGCTTACAGAAGGGGCAAAATTATCCTTTGAAGCACATGGCGTAGCTTGGACGGTGAGCTCAGGGTGTGTGCAGCGAGGTATGTTCAGCACATGCCCTGATCCCAGTCACCCAGACAATCTATTAGTGCTAAATTTACGTTAAAAATATGCCGACGTCACGGGCTCGGGCTGCCACTCCGACCAGCTGACAGAAGAAGTAAACTCGGCCTGAGAACTTTGCGTCACGCTTCTGATATTGCCGACAAGGACTGCACCGGTAGGTCATCCAGGCGATCAGATGAACGTCATCAGATGAATATCATTAGATGAACGACACCCGAGGTAGTTGGCAAGTCCATTAAGGCCCTCAGGTTCCAACACAGGAGCCTTAGCATATCCGTGGAAGATGATAGAATGGACCCGTGAGTGGCAGTGGTCGTCACCTACCCCGGTGGCGTGCGGCTACAGACCACCTGACTCTGATGTTAATTGCGGACTGCACCCTCCCTTGTGAACGCTGACCATGCCATAGTTAGCGTCAGCCGTAGTCAGCGTCAGCCATAGTTAGCGTCAGCCGTAGTCAGCGTCAGCCATAGTTAGCGTCAGCCGTAGTCAGCGTCAGCCATAGTTAGCGTCAGCCGTAGTCAGCGTCAGCCATAGTTAGCGTCAGCCGTAGTCAGCGTCAGCCATAGTCAACGTTAGCCGTAGTCAGCGTGAGCCACAGGCAGCGTCAGCCATAGTTAGCGTCAGCCGTAGTCAGCGTCAGCCATAGTCAACGTTAGCCGTAGTCAGCGTGAGCCACAGGCAGCGTCAGCCATAGTTAGCGTCAGCCGTAGTCAGCGTCAGCCATAGTCAACGTTAACCGTAGTCAGCGTGAGCCACAGGCAGCGTCAGCCATAGTTAGCGTCAGCCGTAGTCAGCGTCAGCCATGGTCAACGTTAGCCGTAGTCAGCGTGAGCCACAGGCAGCGTCAGTCATAGTTAGCGTCAGCCGCAGTCGGTGTCAGCCATAGTTAACGTCAGCCGTAGTCGGCGTGAGCCATAGGCAGCGTGAGCCGTAGGCAGCGTCAACCATAGCGTCAGCCGCAGCCGGCGTCAGCCATGTTGAGGGTCAGCCATGGTCAGCGTCAGCCAGTCACGTCAGCGGCAGTCAGCGTCAGCCATAGTCACGTCAGCCGCAGTCAGCGTCAGCCATAGTCACGTCAGCCGCAGTCAGCGTCAGCCATAGGCAGCCTGAGTCGCAGTCAGCGTCATTCAGAAGTAGTCCCCATCCCCTGCACAAGACGTGCCGGTGAGCGAGAACAGCAATGGGTGCCAGCGTTTTGCACTGGTTTCTTTAGTGCTTAGCCGATACGCGGCCCGTCTAAAACCAAGACGTCACGATGTTTTGTCAAACGCCACTTCAACAAGCCGCACAGTTGTCTGTCTTGCCTCCAAGATAGTTGCTCTTCCGTGCTCAGACCGTAGATTGATGCTTTGTGGCCTCCTTTTAGATCCTTTACGAGTTCCTAAACCGATCATCCTTCCTAAACCGATCATCTCGATTGCACTGTTCGGTACCTACCAGGTAATTCACCAATGGATTTTTGGACGCCCCAAATGATCACCCAAGCACCATACATTCATACGCACTGAAGGCGTGCATGCATGGCCGCTGTACCGAAGAGGATGCCTCCGGGCGCGTGGACTCTACAGCCGACTGGCGAACGGTGCATCGGAAACCCCATTGCTTACTGAGTACCAGCGGCTCAAATAGCGAAGCTCTCACACCAAACAAACACCGTCCAAGTGGTTCCCAGAGGGCGTGGGGGGGGGGGGGGGAGGGTGACGCAACCGGGAACATACTGGACATCCCATCGAGGCCGGAGCTAAGCTCTGCACACTGCGCAATGTGCCGATCTGATCACCATGGCCAACGTGCAGGGGAGGGTGGCGCTTCCGTCAGGACGGTAGCCTGCACCAATTATCTCACCATCTCACGAAACGGCTCTGAACGCAACATGGCCGCCTAGTTGCTCCTGAATTGTAGCACGCAATTTTCCTGTGCGTAGCGGACGAGAGCATGCACGCTCTCGCCCACCAGTCCTCCGTACTCCCCAGCGATTTCCTCGCCCCAGACTCCAGCTAACTCTCAAAAGTCAGCCTCTACTCTACCGCATGTATTGTTAGACGATGGCACCCACAGAGAGCGGCGGAACAAAGTTACACAGTGACGGTGCGCCATCGGACTCCTCAGCGGACGCCCGGGGCGGCGGCGGTCCGGCCGCAGCGCTCGCCGCGCCGCCTACCGATGGTGAACCGAAGCTGTTGCCGGCCAAGCGTTGATCAGTGTTCGCGTTAATTTCATTAGCCGTTAGCCGGTGTTGTCGCGCCGCAGCCGACGGAAAGAGTCTCAGAAGAGCTGTCTACCGAGGCCTTCGGCCGACGTCTTGAGAGAGCCTGCACGCCACGGCCAGGAAAGCAGGACACGAAACCAGCTACACAGACTGATGGGACACGCGCGCGAGGCACTTAACTTCACACCATGCGGCTGGCGCACCCTCACACGGCCGCCGACGGCGTGCGGTCGCCGACATAACACGGATCGCGACGGCCCGCTGTGCGGTGGGCGGCCGGCGGACACTGCAGCCGCCTCACAAAACCGCCAAGAAACGACTCTCGAGGGGCAATTTTGCGCGATCGGCTCGTTGCACGTGCAGCACGCGGCTGTGGGCGGTGCCGTGCCGCGTGCGCGGCGGCGCGTCGGCCGCGTCCACACTTAAACTCCGTCATCACCACGAAGCCGGGTGCGCCAGTGTCGGCGGCGGCAGTTCGGCGCGCCACGGGGCCGTGGACTGTCCGATTCCCGGCGTCCACTGGTCCCTCAGGCGTCCTCGCGCCCGGCCGCGACGGCCACGGGGTAACAGGTCACGACCGCGACACAGCGGAAGTCACAGATCACAACCCCAGATCCACCGAGGTCGCAGGTCACGCGCCGACTCGACCGAGGTCACAGGTGACGTCTTCATCTTCAGGTCAGAGGTGAGGTGCCGCCCAGAGAGGAGGGTGCGGTCGGCGCGACGCCGCCGGCCACCACCCGTCTGGCAACAGAGGTCACAGCAAAGGTCATCCTCCAGGAACGCCGCCGGACGGGGATTTCCCCGGAGATGGCCACATCAGCAACACTCAGCGCGCGTCGTCGCCACATTACTCCTAAGCGCGATTAACCCGCATGGGCCGCAGACGACCGGGGACTGCCATCTGCTCCTCAGAACAAACCGCTCTGCACGGCATCACGTGTGATCATCAGCAATGTCAAGTGGGACGGCGTGACATATTGTCGGGGTTAACACGCGCTCGGATGGGGGTTAATTTGACCCCTCCATAGGTTTTTCTGGAATGGTTTCCAAACGGCACCGCATGGTCGTGCCAAATTTTGCATAGCTGTAGACAATGGAACAGCGGATCGTTTGGTATCCAAAATTTAAAAGTACCTTGTAAGATCGCTGACCTATGACAGATCAAACTCAGACAACAGATTCAGCGAAGACAATTTCAAAGGGATTCGTTCAATCTGATGCATCACCTGAGTGTTAGACGAAACCATACATTTCTGAGATACTTTCTTAGGCCACACAACAGCTGAAAGAACAAATTCCATTGACCTGGGGTCAGGTATGAAGGTCAGACCGAGGTCAAAAACAGCCTGTTTTATTACTCTAGACTTTGCTGTATGGGGGAGTTTCTGGTGCTCATTTCAAACGTGTTGACGCCAAAACACGCATGACACATCTTTCATGGACTTCTTAAAGGCCAGGATAAGCAACTGATCGAAAATCACCCCAGTCGACACTGTCTTAGGAATATATTGCCTGGCATGATCTTTGACGCTGATTCAAATGCAAAACTTAAAGCAATCTTGTATGATTTTGGTCAAAATGACCTTCGAAGAGTCAAACAAGGTTTCTGACTCTAAATGTGCACCAGTGACCTTTTGCTCAGAACAGGTAGGTTCTGAGGCACTTTGGACATCAATCTAGAGTTTGAACTTGTTTGAACTTATTTGACCCGAAGGTCGAGACCTAGGAGCCCAAATATTGACACAAGTAAGCTCACATACAGGCTAACACACCCTGTAAACATGGTGTCTCTAGCTCCCTTAGTTTCTGAGATCTCAGATGGGAGGCCAAATTGACCCCCACCCGAGCGAAAGGTATTCAACCGGCCACCTGGGCGCGTGTGAAGTCGCCCATCGGCCGCGGCTGTAGCCTCAGCTCGGCAAAAGTTTCCTTTGTGCTGTTGATTGGGCTTAAAGGGCGTAGAGCTGCTAAAGTCCTTCTGCATCCATTAAAATATCATGATATTGGGGTACATTGTTCGCACAACTCACGCAGACATCAAACGAGGATATGGCATGAGCTTCGTGCAACAATATGAGAACGCTACAAAACCCTTTCCACAAAACACTAGCGAGAATGACGACACTGTGATAGCTGGTTTCACCTCGTGCCAGTTTCGTCAAACTGAAGTTCAACATCCTGCGCTGGTGTCAAGAATAAAACCATAGCCTGAGCACTAACCTTTTGGCATGACTGGGCTTTGAATCATGCATTATTTCTCACGCACTACAAAAATACATTTCTTGGCAGCGTTCACCTTATCGTCAAAGGCTCATGCCCATACTAACTTCAGATGCGCTTATAACTCCAAAAGAATCCGAACGAGTCCTAGTCCAGAGCCGGCATCTGGCTACAATTATTTGCTCTTTAGAAACGACGCAAGTGAATCGTATCTCCGCAATCATCATCAACCGTAAGCTCAACGCATGCCTCAGCTTATGATGGATGATAACGTCATTATTCCCAATATCATTACGCAATCATTATCCGCCAAAGCCCGAGCCCACGGGCCCGGGCTTCTAACGGATAATGACTGCGCAGATTTTACTCAGCATGTAACGACCAATCTATGAGGTCAACTGAACTACATGCTCTCGAACACTTGTTAATAATCGAATCAAATCTAGTCGGTCATTTGTGAGAGGTTGAAACCTGCGTACTGCTGTACGTATTTCTTCTAACGCATGGTCACACAAAATGACTATTCGGCCCAAAACCAAAGCCCTGTCAAGTGCAAGGCCGCTCCTGACAGCCCGCTACATGTACATCACTTGGGTGCGTTACTATCGTTTTTTTTTTGCAGCCACCTTTCCTGGGACAAATAAAACAATCCTGCGACAGCCACTGCACCGTTTCTACGAACACAAACACACCTGTACTACCATCAACATTCCAGATCTTCTTGCCGCCTCCGCAATAGTTGGAAAATCATTTGTGCGACCAGCGCCGACAGTTTTGGGACAAGGGCTCTAACGCTGACCTTTGTTCCCAAATAATCATTCCGATGTGAATTAAACGAAGGTATTGGGGTAGTGAAGTCACTTAATCGGTTAATTAACGAAGGTTTCTGATTTCAAGATGCCGAAGGCCAAAAAGTTCTTTCGTAGATAAACATAGGCACGGGCAACCACAGACAAACAAAGAGACAGAAACACACACCCGCGCGCGCGCGCGCACACACACACACACACACACACACACACACACGCACGCACGCACGCACGCACGCACGCACGCACGCACGCACGCACGCACGCACGCACGCACACGCCGCCACACGCGCGCCCCCAGTGTGCAGTCCTCCCGCACGATCTTCCCACGCGCGGGCCACACCACCCTGTCGCCACACGCGCGCGCCCAGTGTGCAGTCCTCCCGCACGATCCTTCCACGTGCGGGCCACACCACCCTGTCGCCACACGCGCGCCCCCAGTGTGCAGTCCTCCCGCACAATCTTCCCACGCGCGGGCCACACCACCCTGTCGCCACACGTGCGCCCCCAGTGTGTGGCCCCCTCCCCCGCAGGTCCGCGCAGCGATCATCTTTGTTAAAAGCGTGCCTCGCCAGCCCGCCGGAGCGCCGAGCGTGCACGCGCCGCCCACGGCGGCCGGAAGTCCCAGCCGACGCACCGCCAGCGCGCCGAGCACGCCAGCAGAGACGTGTCGTCCAGTCCCTCAGCCCACTGACCGCGCGGCCGCAGTTCCCTGACCGTCACGTCCAGGCAGCCCCCCCCCCCCCTTCCCCTCCTCCTCCGGAGACCGGGTGGGCGGCGGCCGGTGATCGTGACGTCCAGGCAGCCCCCCCCCCCCCTCCCCTCTCCTCCGGAGACCGGGTGGACGGGCCGACGGCGGCGGACAGCGCAGGTCGGCCCAGCACGACGGGTTGGGACTCCGCAACACAAACAAAAACAATAGCACCGAGCGAGCGGCCGGCGGCAGCCTGCCGGACAGCGGCACGGGGCCGGTCCACGCGGCGGCGCGCTCCCCAACACCACACCTTGAGCCAGGTGCAGCCCGAGCGGTCAGCACTAGCAGTGCCCCTCCCACTGGCCAAGCAGCGTACCCAGCGGGGCATCACATCCGAGCACGCGGCAAGGCTCTGCGCTCTCTGCCAAGAAGCGCAACACGCTACGAAAAGCGACGATACGAAATCGCAAGGCAGATATCCAGATAGTGGCGATAGTGGCAGATAGTGGCGATCTTGACAAGGTCCTAACGTATAACTGGTAAGAAAAAATATTGGGAGACAGCAACCAGCACGCACGTCTACAACAGGACATCATCGCACAACATTACGCACACGCAAACTGCAAAACAACAAAGTCAGTCCGTGTACTGTACAGTATGCGCACTGTTATGTTAAGTGGTCCGGTTTAAATCACAGTGTGCGCACTGCCATGTGACGTGGTCAGGTTTAAATCACAGTATGCGTACTGCCATGTCAAGTGGTCAGGGTTAAATCACAGTATGCGCACTGCCATGTAAAGTGATCAGGCTTAAATCGCAGTATGCGCACTGTCATGTTAAGTGGTCAGGGTTAAATCACAGTATGCGCACTGCCATGTAAAGTGATCAGGCTTAAGTCACAGTATGCGCACTGTCATGTTAAGTGGTCAGGGTTAAATCACAGAATGCGCACCGCCATGTAAAGTGGTCAGGTTTAAATAATGGTATGCACACTGTCATGTAAGGTGGTCAGGGTTAAATCCATATATTACTGAATGATACTGGAACACCCATGCCAAACTCGCCGTGGCTCATCACCGTTCATGTACTGTTCAGACTTCTACAAAATGTTACGTTCTGAAATTTTAAATCCCAGCAAATGTATCATGCCAGTGTCTCTTTACCTTGCCTGCTATACCTTCATGAAAACGAGGTGCACACTAATTAAACTATCCAGCTGAACAACGGATCTTACACTACTTGGTATCAAGACGGAAGTTTATCGCGTCATGTCTGGTGGCCAGCTCTATACTTGGCTTTCGCACCCTCACTCAACTGAAGATGTGCTGACATCGTCACAAGGTATGGGAGCGACGGCCACGAGCCGCGGCCCGTCACCGCAATCGTCATTTATTGTCAAAATTTATTACGGATCTTACATCCTGAAGCGAGAGGGTCAAGAGCTTCACAGAATTCACTAATGCGGCTCAGGCCATGGTGAATGACCACCAAATGTGTTCGGATGAAGTTCCCTTTGATATGGTTGGTTTTCTTTGTCTTCGAAAACCATGGTCAGCTTAACAGTGATGGGCCGGCGGGATGCTGGACTGCGCATCTACAGAAACTGAGCCCACGTGTCTTTACGTTACACTTCAACGTTGCGTCATCTCATGCCATTCTTTTAACACATGTATTCTGGACGGACGTCAGCGGTTAATGCTGAAGCGACGTGCGAAGCTTCGGCTTTGATATGGAAGCTACGCCAGGCCTACCACGCCGCGCCGCGACGCACCGGCGCTGACGGAGCTGCTTACTCCACGGCGTTGCTGCACGATGAGTCGAGACGAAAGGCGCCAAACGGCGCATAATCCATGTTGTTCTGGATTTCTTAGTGCTGGGGGATTGGAACAAATACCTTCTCATTCTGCACGTCATGAACATGCAGTTTTCATTTAAGTGTCCCATCACTTTCAGTACCAGTGACTCTAAAGTGTGTGCCAACACAATGACGGACAAAATCAAACGACGGCTATAATACGGCGCCACTGATGGTGAACCCACTTGTGGTCGTGGCGCCGGCTGCCAATGTCTATGGCTAGCTCGAGACAACAGCCTGCCAGTGCAGTGACCCCCCATCAAGATCCTTATCCGTGCACCCGCCATCAAGAAATGAGATGATGAGATCTGCCCATTAACCGTGCACCAAACTGTGCCGCGAAGAAGGCCTTTGGTTGCGGCTCGCAGCACATCTCTGACCAGCTGACGGAGTCTGGACCACCTTAGAGCGCGTGTGCCTTGTCGCCCGTTTACTAAAAAGCCCATGTAGCGTGTTACAGCACTTAATGGCCACCACCATTCCACTCCAGTGCCTCCCCCCCCCCCCCCCCCCCCCCCCCCCCCCCCCCCCCCCCCCCCCCCCCCCCCCCCCCCCCCCCCCCCACCTGAGTACACCTGGCCCGGGCGGCCGCCCCGGGGCAGGCCAGCCCGAGGTGCCCGCCGCCGTCAGCCGGGCGCCGCCGGCGGCGGTGCAGGTCGCCCGTCCGCCGCCGTCAGCCGGGCGCCGCCGGCGGCGGTGCAGGTCGCCCGCCCGCCGCCGGCGGCGGTGCAGATCGCTTGCCCGCCGCCGCCAGCCGGGCGCCGCCGGCGGCGGTGCGCCGGCCGCCAATCGCCACGCTGATCAGCGGAGCCGGAAGTCCGTCTCTCACGCCTCCGCCACCGCCGCCAGGCCCAGGCTTAACATTCATGTCACAGCTCTGGAGCTGGGATAGACTTTCCGGGATATTTGGTGTCGAAATGCCGAACGCCCGAAGGCTGACACAAAAATCGCGGCTCTCAATCACATAAGCTGTGATATTATCACAGCGTTTGCCAAATGACGCGTAGCGTGTGACGTGTGAGCATGATCTCATTCAGGTTAGCACTTTCTCCCGAGTTCAACTTCGACACCGGCCTGACCGCCGCACAGGCCCTCGAATGATCCTTAACACCGCACATCTCCCATCATCGTCACGACCCACGCCTGCCTGGGTCTAACGCGATCATCACATGGTATGTCACCTGCCTCCGGCCCGGCCCGACGACCGGTGGCGGTGTGGGTGGTGCCGTCATTATGAGCGTGGCCGCCGGCTGCGGGTGACGAGCCTCAGCGGCAGCCACCGCCACCGGGCGGTGACGAGCCTCAGCGGCAGCCACCGCCACCGGGCGGTGACGAGCCTCACCGGCAGCCACCGCCACCGGGCGGTGACGAGTCTCACCGGCAGCCACCGCCACCGGGCGGTGACGAGCCTCACCGGCAGCCACCGCCACCGGGCGGTGACGAGCCTCACCGGCAGCCACCGCCACCGGGCGGTGACGAGCCTCACCGGCAGCCACCGCCACCGGGCGGTGACGAGTCTCACCGGCAGCCACCTCCACCGGGCGGTGACAAGCCTCAGCGGCAGCCACCGCCACCGGGCGGTGACGAGTCTCAGCGGCAGCCACCGCCACCGGGCGGTGACGAGTCTCACCGGCAGCCACCGCCACCGGGCGGTGACAAGCTTCAGCGGCAGCCACCTGCATGCACTCATTCGAGGATGCAAAGTTTTGAAACTTGGGTGTGGGTACTACACACAAGTGTCAAGCAGCCTCGCCCTGTTAGTCTCGTTGCCTTCCCCGGCAGCGCCCGCGGAGCAGGATACAATTTGAGTTGGCAGCGGGAATTAATTGGGGTACGTCGATAGCCGAATAAGAGGCTTGGGCTCGAGCCTCTTTGAGCACCGCCGAGCACCGCCTCACCGCCCAAGTCAGCCAGCAGAATGGAATGTCGCAACCCAAACGGAATGATCGGATCGCCCGAGCGGGAATCAAGTCGGAGAATTAGGTCCTAATAGAACCGAAACCGGTCCTAACACGCCTCTCATACATCAAACTTGTGCGCACCATTAGCCTGATTTAATTACATGCAAAGCGTGCGGAGGGGCTATGACTATTAATGGAACTATTGAGGAAAATCCCCGATGTCTACCCACACGCTGCATGCTACGGTGTTTCACAAGCCATTCTCAAGGAGACTGTTCTTATAATCAACATCATACTAAACAATAAGACGTGTGCTGTGCATACGCCACATGCATTGAGCAGCAGCTGATGCCGCGGTGCTCAGCGTTTCACGCCGAGGCTGAGAGTAGTCCCACCTATCGATTACACACTATACTTCTGTTTGCGCCAATGGCCGCGCTATCCAAGACGCTCGCGCGCAACGAAGTTCTACCTTCCGGCTGCTTCGCAGAGACTTTCCGTCTAAATTAGGGATAAATCGGTCTTTCGGGTGGTGGATTCTTCGGCAAACCGGAGAGCGGTAGGATAACTGGTTACAGCGGCGGGGCTGGCGCGGTATCTACACCCACCAGGCATTGTGCCTCACAGCCAGCGTGGCAAATGCAATCTCACATGAAGGACACGGGCGCGAAACCATCGCTGATTCATTGTCGTGCTTCTAGTTGCTCTTACCGTCTGTATTTGCCTACGTGCGGTCCATTTTTTGAGGGGCCAATGATCATCTCATGAACATGTGACATGGAAAACTGACTGGGAAGTATGTGTTTCCACCAAAAGGTACAAATGCACGTCCACGAAATGTATACGAAAATACATCAATTTGTTCTTACATGACCTTCATAACTTAGGGCTGGAGTCTACAATAGGCAAACGGCAAGGTGCCAACACTTAAAGTCAAATTTATGACACGTTTTACTCAATGCCAAATATGACGACACAATGTCAAATTCCAGGCAAATTAACAAGTTTCAGTACTCCAATTGGAGCTAAATAGCGGCCAGATGTTGCAATTTAGAAAATATAAAAAGCAGGAATCACTTATTGAATTAATCGATCATTTCCTGAACCAGTTTTATCATCATACAATTTTCGAAGTGATTGAAGCCAAACACCGTTTAAATACCTCCGTAAGACGTTACGGAATATATGCATCACATTTCACCGGAGTCACAGTATTTCCTTATCGCCATGGCAGTCAAACACTACAGACAGCAGGCCAGCGAACTCCGGTGGCAGGTTCCGCGTCTCCTGCCACTTTGCTTCCAGCGTGCAGTTCGCCCTGCCGAACGCGGCGCATGCTCCCCGGCGAGCGGACCTCAGCCAGACGGCGTGCGGAGGTCACCAGAGGAGACCGTGGCCCGTCTCTAGGTAAATGGGTGGCGAGAGGGGAGGGATCGCCCTCACTCGGCCTCGGCCCCGGCCTCCGCCCGCTCGCCCCCCCCCCCCCCCCCCCCTCCAACCCCGTTACGCCGAGGGACGGATCACATCTCTCACAAGATCGCGGCCGTTACATGTGCTAACACGTACAACGTCGGCCGGCCTATAGTTATACTACACACTCAAAAGGCTGGGGTGTAGAATCGAAGCGACTCGTCTCCGTACCACACTTGACATGTCCGACTGAATTCGCCTACGTTTCGGGCACATCTCGTATTTACTAGTGCACTATTTGGTAGCGACATGTATCAGCAACACACTAATCATAAACATGCTTTATTTGTGATCGAATACCTCACCTGGACCGTCCGACCAACCATGCCGTATCGGTCCCCAGTCGCACTCTTCCCCGCCTTGTACAGCACGCTGACCCGGCGACACCGCCGTGACGTGGCGCCGCCGCTCACCCGGCGTTCAGTTGACGAAGGTGGCGCTGTCCTCGGTCTTCTCCTCGGCCGACGGCGGATCGTTCCACTTGTGGTGTTTGGTGTGGCAAAAGTTGATAATGCGCACGTGGATGGCCTGGCTGCGCTCCATCTTGGGCGGGATCTGACAGAGCCGGAACGTCACGCGGTCCTCCTTCACCGGAATGTACTCGCCCTCCACGCTGCGGAAGGACAGAGGGGCGGGGTCAGGTGACGGTGGCGTCAGCGGTCGGCTGGTGCCGGGCCGCCTCCGGGCGTGGACAGCACGCGGGGCGTCCACGCTGTGGGAGGGCGGAGGGGCGGGGTCAGGTGACGGTGACGTCAGCGGTCGGCAGGTGCCGGGCCGCCTCCGGGCGTGGACAGCACGCGGGGCGTCCACGCAGACCAGCGGTCTAACTGCTCACGCCCCGCTTCATGCCCCAGTGCTGGCCAGACTGATCACACTCGCGCCGACGCACTCACGACGCACTTGAAATGGGCGAGTCAGATACCGCAGCATTCGCCTATCTCGTACGATGCATGGTTTCAATAGCGTTCCCGAATCCAGCAAAACACTGCTACGGTCACAGCGGTGAACGGCGCCAGTTTCTAACCCGCCAGCTCTTCCTCAATCACAAACGTCAAAGATCCTGTCAAACCTCCTCCAATCCCCCCTCGACAGCCAAAACAGCTGACAAAGAGAGTACCAGTGACACCGCTACAGCAATAACAAAACTGGATAGAAATGAGCCCTAGGAAGCGCATCTCTGTCCCCTGCATACCGTTTCTAAATACCAGAGAGTAAAAAGACTACCAAAAACCGACATCATACTCATGTCACTCGTGCGAAGATGCATCGGCGCGCGCCGACACCCGCGCCCTCTCGCCGTTCCCTACAGACCACACGGCCAAGAGGGCCTCACATCTCACACGGCTGACGGCGCTCGCCTGGGCCCGGACTCACTCCAACCCGGACTCAGACCCGGACTCTGACCCGGACCCGGACTCGGGCCCACTCACTCGGACTCGGAGCCGAACTCACTCGGACTCGGATTCGAACTCGGACTCGGACTTGAACTCGAACTCGGAGCCGTACTCACTTGGACTCGGACTCGAACTCGGAGACGCACTCACTCGGAGCCGTACTCACTCGGACCCGGGCTCGAACTCGAACTCGGAGCCGTGCTCACTCGAACTCGGAGCCGTGCTCACTCGAACTCGGACCCAAACTCGGAGCCGTACTCACTCGGACTCGGACTCAAACTCGGAGCCGTACTCACTCGGACTTGAACTCGAATTCGGAGCATTACTCACTTGGACTCGAACTGTAACTCGGAGACGCACTCACTCGGAGCCGAACTCACTCGGACCCAGACTCGAACTCGAACTCGGAGCCGTGCTCACTCGGACTCGGACTCGAACTCGGAGGCGTACTCACTCGGACACGTGGACGAAAATGAGCGGCTCGCCGGGGCGTGGCTCGTCGGGCCGGATGAAGCCGTGGCCCTTGGTGCGGCAGAAGCTGACGATGGTGCCGCTCTGGTCCGGGTTACGCATGCCGCGGTCAGACCTGCGCGCACACCCACCCCCTGTCAGCCATCCCGTCAGCTATCCCGTCAGCCGTCCCGTCAGCCACCTCGTCAGTCAGGCAACACGGCCTGGCTAAAGCCGAACATGGAACGGTACACGGCATGGTCAATACTCATGTTAACAATAATACTGATGCATCAAAATGGAAATATAGATATGGGACAGCAATGTGAATGACGATAAAATCCTGAAAATTACGAGGTTGCGGAATGAAATGCCAGATTTAAGCGGTGAAATTGACAACTCACACACACGTTGGTCAACCAAAGCTAGCTATTTTTATTTCAAGCATTCGTCATGCGTCGTACAAGCCAGGGATATAACGACATAGCCCGGTCGGGAGACGACGTCATGACGTCAGTCACGCTGCATTTCGCATGCCAAGCCACACGTCACAGAAATTCTTCAGCTCAGCGACAGAGCCGTGATCGGCAGCACGGCGCTGGAGGTACGGTGGGCGTGCTCAGCACGGCGCTGGAAGGTACGGTGGGCGTGCTCAGCGCTGGAGGGTACGGTGGGCGTGCTCAGCACGGCGCTGGAGGGTACGGTGGGCGTGCTCAGCACGGCGCTGGAAGGTACGGTGGGCGTGCTCAGCGCTGGAGGGTACGGTGGGCGTGCTCAGCGCTGGAGGGTACGGTGGGCGTGCTCAGCACGGCACTGGAGGGTACGGTGGGCGTGCTCAGCGCTGGAGGGTACGGTGGGCGTGCTCAGCGCTGGAGGGTACGGTGGGCGTGCTCAGCGCTGGAGGGTACGGTGGGCGTGCTCAGCACGGCGCTGGAGGGTACGGTGGGCGTGCTCAGCACAGCGCTGGAAGGTACGGTGGGCGTGCTCAGCACAGCGCTGGAAGGTACGGTGGGCGTGCTCAGCACGGCGCTGGAGGGTACGGTGGGCGTGCTCAGCACGGCGCTGGAGGGTACGGTGGGCGTGCTCAGCACGGCCGTCCTACAGATCGCCAGGTCAGAGTACACCAATGCCGGCGATAGGGGGCGGGGGGCAAGGGGTGTGTGATAGCGCACACCCGGTCACCGGCCGGTCGGCCCATCGCAGGGCGCCGGCCGGCGGCGTGACGTACCCAGTGCAGGAGTGAGATGCTCCACGCACAGGTGTAACTAACACCGGGGTCATGTACAATTCTAGGCTTTATACTGAGCACAACTACGCCACGCCTGCGTCCCGGGGCCGGTTCCGTCTAACGCAGCACAATCAACTCATGTCAGCATTCCGTTTTCCGCCAGCGCACCCGATGGAGCAGCGTTGCTGGTGCCGCTGCCAGTGTCCAGCCTCAATAACTCCGGTTCCATGTCGCCTGTCCAGCCTCAATAGCTCCGGTTCCATGTCGCCTGTCCAGCTTCAATAACTCCGGTTCCATGTCGCTGTGCGCACATCGCCGCGACAACATCCTCCTTCGCAGCTGATTGGCCCCGCGCAGGTTGCTTTCAGAACGATATCAGAATCGTATCATGGCCACAGTATCGTAGTAAAAAATTAGCGTTCCCTGTAGCCGACGTCGCCACATGTCCTTCGGCCACTCGGCACTCGGTATCTAGAAACAGCCGAGCAGGGGTGACTCATGAAATGAAGGGCATCGGTGGCTGCCGCACACCCGTGGTGCTTGACACAACCTGCTCGATAAGAACCCAACAATACATCTAAGTGTTTGGGCTTCAACAAGGTCTGAAAGTCTGACTTGTCACGCTGGCCCATAGCTTTAAGCCGATAGCTTTCACCTTTAGGTCTGAAAGCTATCGGCCTAAAGGTGAAAGCTATCGGCTTAAAGCTATCGGCCAGCGTGACAAGTGGCGGATATTCCTGATCCTTGGCGTAGCATTTTTCTGAGGGCGTTTCCTCGCAGCGCTGCAGTAGTTCTGCAAACTTCTGCTCTCATTTTGCACACTCTGGTCGTGACGCTCCCAATCATGGTGGGCGTTTTAGTTCAAACTAGCCCCTTTTACCGCTAGCGTTTATCCGACCGGTGCCTCATTTGGTTCCGTCGCACCGTACCGGTACCTTGTTCAAAAGACCATACGACTGGGAAAAACGAGGGAAAACTCATCGTTTTTCGTCGGGCCTATCCCAGCAGTCACTAAAACTCGCTCCGGAAGCGTTTTTCCTTCCTCACGTATCAATCCGTCTTTTTACGACTGTGTATTTGGTCCATGGAACCAAGTCATTCAGTGCCGCAAACGTGACATGATAGGTACACACGAATGGAACAACTCCTCCAAAGTGGAAACCTACGATTCTTTTGATAGTTCGACAACAATCATGATGCCCCACCTGCTGGTTTCGTCAGCATTTCAGATTTTGTACAAATTAGGGCCCTGTCTTACAGTGCTTGCGTGAAATGGGCTACCACAGCACCCAAACGAGGCAATGTTTCAGTGGTTTGTGATGCGCCGCGGGTGAAAAACCCCACAACCGATCACGTGCTCGGCCAATGCCGACGACAATATAATTATGAACCTCTTCGGTTGGACCCAGCTCTCTTAGACCACTCAGAACAACAACAGATGACGTCAGAATACCACGGAATACCTATCAATTGCAGCCCGACCTTAACCTGACACGACCTGACCCGTTCGATCCGGACCAGGCTTAGTCGCCGGGCCCGGATAGCTAGCCTCAGGTCGGGTCGAGGTCAGGTCGGACCCACACAAAGGAAACTTCAGAGCGTCCGGCTTCTGCGGGGTAGAAACTGGCCGCCGCGAATTCGTCTGTCTGTCTGTTTACGAAACCGTCGGCGGCTGACACAACCCATGCAAACATCGGGACGGTAGCGCAGTGCTGCCAAATGCATCCTGCTGCGAAGCGTCAGCAGGCAGTGCGGCTGCCAAATGCACGGCGACGCTAAGTCACGTTCGTTTCGTCAGGGCCCGAGAGGCCTCGCAGTATGTCGGGCGCATATCCCACACAGAGACAGAGGACCAGACCTGACAAAAAAGAGGACTCACCGACAGCGGCCCATACGCGCAGACTGCAGAGTTGACTCAGAGGCCACACGCGTGAGGTTGGCTCACGTGGAGCTCACGTGGCTAGCTCGGACTCGCGCGCACGGCACGTGACCACATTCCAGGAAAGAGCCTGCACTACACGTGACCGCCTCGCACAGGGCGGCCTGCGGCTCTCTGGCGGCGGGGGACGCTGGGCGGGGCGACTCACGTGGACTGGGTGCGCGTTCGGCGAGTGATCAGCGGACTGGGCATGCGAAGCGACGGGTGGCCGTCCAGCACCGGCGACAGCTTGCCCTCCTCCATGATGCTGGTGATCTGAAACAGGCATAACTTCAGCCCCACTGGGCACGGACGATTGCCGCTGACAATAGGTGACCATCCGTGTTCCTATCGAGATGATCGGCGTATGGCATTTCCCCTTGATTCCCCTGACCCTGCAACTGATGACAGCCCAAAATGCAATCTGGTAGCATTAAAACAAGCCAAGAAATATGCATGTACTCCTACTGACCATATACATGGGGACATTATCTGGGTGTCATCATAAGTGACATTAGCACAGTGACTGAGCAATATTTTTTTGTGGTTTCACTGCTTTAACTCTGACACATGCACATCTTCACATTCCATTACTCCTGCAATAACAATTACTTATCACAAAAAAACACCAATCAGAACAGCTGCCTGCATTTGGTGACACCACACATCACACATCTGTTCCATGTTCAAAGTAGGGTGACAGCAGGCCAGGCTAAGGATGAAATTTGTTCAGTTAATAAAACACAAAACATGCCAAGAGACTAAATATCTGCTGAGACACAAGCAACTTGGAAGTAGTTAGGGGTCTGTAGCAACTGTTGGACACTAGAGGCATATTCTATGCACTTGTGCATTTGTTCTTTTTGTTATCAACAGATAGGAAACATTTGACTCTGGACTAAACAGCATCCCAAGACTTAGTAGCCTCCTACAAACAAATAACTTCTGTATTGCACAAATTTATTGATAATCTCCCTCTTAAGCTATTTTTCAAGTGTAACTTGCCAACATAACCCCCAAAAAGGTTGTGATCTGCCCATCTCCACATCAATGACCATCACAACTCAACCTGGTCTGATGCACTGGTACTTGATGTTTGCAACATCAAACAGAACATTGCTTAAATGGGATGGAACTCTATGTTGTCTGAGAAATCCTCCATTTATTCAGTTCCCAAGTCAATTCCAAGTTGATGCTCTCATCTTGACATATTGGCCTTGGCAGATGCTACAGCCAGCAGGTTGGACCAGTGTGTCCCACCCCGGATGGTCTGTCTGGACACTGCATATAATCATGGATGCAACTCCCATTTTGGTACATATAATGTTCTTGGCTGGTTTGAACTTCCAAGCCTGTCTCAGCATGGCAAATGCCAACAACGGTATCTGGACTTAAACCATTGTGCACTTTCAAACATTGCTTCAATGTATCTCTGATGTCTATGTGCATAAAACTCAATTTTGCACTTTTCATGACTGCCACCCAGGGGCCAGATGGCTTAAATGCTATTTTATCTGATGGTGCTTATGCCTTTTTGTTCTCAGATAGCACAACTCATCCTGTAGTTAATACTATCATTGTCTCATACCTACTTCAACTACCTCGCATAGGCAAATTATAATGACAGCATGTGTGGACAGTTTGTTATTTGTATCCCAAATGCAATATGTAGGTACATGGTGCAGTCATGCATGCACCACTTGGGCCCTGGATTTTCCTCCAAGTTCATGAAAAGCACTTACTTTGTGGCATACAGCACCACACAACAACCACCACAAACCATCAAACTCATCAAACATATCAAACTCCCCAGCTGTGAACCAACCACTATTTGTGTGGCTGGGTAAAGCAGACTGCTTTCATGTGTGTGTTCCAACCCAAAATAGTCAGTTTATAGTTGATGGATAATTTTCCACATCCTCAGCAAGCAAGATGCCAAACAAAACATATGTGGCCAACACTATGATCTTGTTTCATATGAGTGTGATACACTGACTTTTTCACCAACTAAATTTAGTATACTTCTCTATTTCCTTTTCATTTGATTCTTAAGGCTTACAAGCTGACCTACACTGAAGCTTTTGCCAGCATCCACTATTTTTTCCTGATTTCCATTCAATTATGCATCCTAGCACCATCCTGTTTATCCATGGTAAGCAACAAGTACCAGCTGCGTGGGCTTAAGAGTGCCCTGATAGGAGCATAAACTGAGAGCCAAGTTAGGACTAATGCCTTCAATATACAATTTGTTTGCTGCAAAACCAAGATATAATGCCATGCCATCCAGTTTTTGGAGGATACAGGCCTGGCCTCTACTCCTTGACATTTGGAAATCACTGAAATTATAGTCCTCAAGAGTGCTACAGTAATATGAGATATGGCAGTACCCAACACCTGGTTGATGGCATGTATCTATGGAGTATAAATTGCCCTTGCTACCCACACAATCACTGGCATTTTAACATCTGAGGGGAGCAAAACACAAAAATACAGAGATGCATCACAGCTCTCGACACATCCAACATGTTTGTCAACTCAGCTAAAAGGTGCAGGAGCTGGTAAGGCCACGAGTGGTGGGCCAGAGTACTGAAAATTCAAGGTTCCTGACAATCCTTCATGAAAATTTAAGATGGACCATACGGACAAAGAATGGAAAGAAACAACCATAATGACCAATAGCCACCCCACGCGACTTCTCTGAAGCAGTCATACACGCCCATAAACATTTAAAGGCAGTCAAAGACAATAAGCAGTACAGCAGAACACACCGAACCAGATATGCGATACTCAGGACACAAGTGTACCTGCACGTTCGAGCTCCTCCGTTCGTGGGACCCTCGTGCGGGACCTCCCTTGCAATGCGTAATTACGCACGACGTCGCAACCGGAGTCTGGAACTCAAGGGCAACGCGGGCAACGCAGACATGGCGGATCTGCGATCACGCCTTCGTCACTGTATCTCCACAATTGTATACCTGAATTCTAATTAAATTCCGATTCTTATTTTCATTTTGATTTATCTATCATTATCATCCCTTCCAATTTGTTATACTTTTTGATCATATGGCACTTAATTTCCGATTGTTTTTCGTTCCCGGGCTCGTTTTGTTCAAGCTAAAAGTCGTGTCGTTGCACACACAGCGCAATGACTTCTCGAAATATTACTATATCGTAGCCGTATGGGGCATGTGGCATTTGTGACTTACACTCGAACATTTTCATGTCACTAACGCGTGGCGCTACGAACGTCAAATTTGATGCGCGGAGGGTCGCCGACGGCGCGTCAGCCGCCGTGGCAAGTAAACAACCGAGTAGGTTGATGTGCGTTGAAGGCTCGCACGTATTCTGCATCTCTAATATTCGGATGGCGGATGTCTCGCGCTATGGTTTCGCACTATTTTAGTATTGTACGGTCATGGGCGTGGTTCCGGAAAATGAGTTACGGTTGCTGAAACATGAAATATTATGAAAGTTAACGCTCAAGTTTGTTAACAGTTGGGTTTGCTCCGGATTTGGCCCAGGTCTCTCTCAGAGGTTGGGGCGCTGGAGCCCAAGTTAGAGGGACTGCGAGCCCCCTATTTGAAAAGGAAACTGTGCGTGATAGCAGGTTGACAAAGCATTATTTCCAGCTAGGTAGCATTGGATGCAGGGTGCAATGTGCTAGCGATGCACGTGCAAGTGATATGTACCCCCGTGTGATTGCTGCTGTGCGGGTTGAGCGGACGTTCGGTGGAGGCATCGCACATGCGCATTTTGACGCGCAAGGTCCCTGAATTTAAATGTTACTGATGCGCATGTCTCTTGTGGCCTGGCTCGCTCAAGATCAAGGTCGGAAGCCGCACGCGCAGGCTTGCCTCCCCTGCGCCTCTTGTGGCCTGGCTCGCTCGGGATCAGGCTCAGAAGCCGCACGCGCGGGCATGCCCTCCTTGCGCCTCTTGTAGCCTGGCTCGCTTAGGATCAGGGTCGGAAGCCGCACGCGCGGGCGTGCCCCCACCCCCTGCGCCTTTTGTGGCTTGGCTCGCTTAGGATCAGGATCGGAAGCCGCACGCGCGAGCGTGCCTCCCCTGCACCTCTTGTGGCCTGGCTCGCTCAGGATCAGGGTTATAAGCCGCTCGCGCGGGCTTGCCTCCCTTGCGCCTCTTGTCGCTCAGGATCAGAGTCAGAAGCCACACGCGCGGGCGTGCCTCCCTGCACCTCCTGTGGCCTGGCTCGCTCAGGATCAGGGCCAGAATCCGCACGCGTGAGTATGCTTCCCCTACGCATTCGATGGGCCTGTCAAATAACGGGATGTGTTAGACACACGCGACCCGGAACACCGTGTAATGTCCACTTTTACCCTTCCACCCTTCGGGCAATTTGGCAACTGCTCACTCGTGTTATAGATATGCCCTGGATGGCCTGCGGTACGCACGCGAGAGCCTGGCATCCCCACGTCATTGCCGCCGATCAGGAAGTGTCTTGGAGTTCATCTTTGGCATACTGGAAGCTTGGAGCATGTGATGGAGTAAGAACGCAATCGGTCGGCCCGTTTCCTGCGTGTGTCAGGTCGTCGATGGCGCATCTACAGGGGAGTGCGGGGCCACGACCCTCCTTTAGGCTACCCGTGAGGTTTTGGCACCCTCTCAGGACACCAGAACAGCATGGTGAAAGCGGACCGAAGCCTTCATTTTGGAAAAACACAACCTTCATTTTCAAAAGTTACCAACTTCCAATAGCGCCAACATCATACCCCGAGTGGCCCTGGATAGCAAAGGGCCTCCTGGCTTTAGCGTTGGTCGGGCCCTGTTGAAAATGAAGGGACATATGACAAATTACTATGCGAATGTTCACATTCACATTAAGACAGTGGAATGGCCCTTCATCAGTCAGAGGCCCCAGTGGAATGACCCTGCATCAGTCATAGGCCCCAGTACCGAAAAAGAGCCCCTCCGTGCTGCTTTAAACGGATCGATTGCTCAAAAAGGATTTCTGTGCCATTTCATGGACTCGGACAGCATGCGCCGGTAAGGGAGTATTTTGCGTCAGTGAAGGCCCCTGCGTCGATAATGCGTCAGACGCCTCGGCCATAGAGCCTGCCGCACAGGAAACGGAATGGCGTATGGCGTATGGCGGGGATAGGAGTATCTCCAGCTGGAGACCAGAACATCCCACCGCTGAAACTTCGAAGCTGATTTTCTGAAACGATTAGCAGCTAGAACAACGCTTACAAAACAGATTGCGTCATTACGTGACGAGTTTGTGGCTCTGGGTGTGCTAATCCACTGCGAGTATGAATATGCCAGGTGCACTGGTGACAGGTATTGTCAGGGCTTTCTTCTTCACGTAGAATTGATTTAAGCACGCATTCGAAAGTACTTCTGTCCGATATGTGGTCTTTTGCATCCTCTCATTGATGATCACCGAGTGTTGACTGCGGAGGCCGATGCCCCGAGATCCGTAAAGACTGCAACGCCGGGTGCAAACGGCCCAGGTCCGGGCAGCCGACGGGGCGGGCTGTCCCTCCCTATGCCCGTTTTGTTTTATGTTGGTGCCAAAGATGGGTCGTTACAGAAAGCCCAAAAATCATGCGCATTTGCACAATGCAGTGAGATCCATTGCTGTTCAACAAATACATCTACAAGACAACAACAAAGTAGTTGAATATGTCAGTTTACGAACGAGTGAAAATGATAAAGGCGATATTGATGTGCGGTTCAAGAAGCGGCGGTCATACATATTTATCCGTGAGTTTAGATGTTTACCTATGCTCTCATATTTGGTTAGGACATCATTCTGAACTCAGTCAATGCCAAATCTTATTTCCATCATAACTGCCAATCATCTCGAACTTCTTACGTGATTGAAACATGCAGAACACGCTCACCATTGATTGGGAAATCGTAATGGAGATGGTGACCGGGAAGTCGTGCTCACGAGCGCCAGATCTGAACGGCTCGCCGATGGCATGCTTTTTGGCCTCGAACGTCGCCTGGCCTATGAGGTAGCAGCATTTGAATGGCATTGCTATATCATTATGCTTGTCTGAATGACCTTGGAATAGGCTGCACGAAAAGTTTGTTCGTCTCCGCGTGTGATAAGCTCAGAAGCTAGTGGGTTCTACATCTAGAGAGGGACAAGGCTGTGAACTGCACCGAAATTTCCAAAACGGCGATTTCAGCTTGAGCCCATACAAATGTAGAACGCTTCCTTTAATCGCCATAACCAAGCGGCGCCGGCCGGCCGCTAGGTATTTATGACCATATAGCGCTGTGGGCGCCCTTCATCCTCTGCATATTGTCGTGTACGTGATTAATTGCCCTCTGTCCTGCCAAGGTGATCACCGTCCTGGTGGCGCAGTGGTTTAGCGCGCCTGCGTTGTGAGCGCTTAGCGAACCCAACACGAGCATTTCGTGTTGGGTTCGGTTCTCAAGGGCGGCGGCCTTTCTTTTGTAGGGAGACCTTTTATTTTCGCGTCTGTTCTCGAAGCTACGTGGTCACGTGACCCGGCCAATCACGGGCCGGGGAGTAGGTCACGCCTGGGGTCGGGGTCGGGGTCGGCGGTGGGTCAGTGGTGGTCCGGGCGGCGCCGGGGAAGGTAGTCAGCTCTCGTTGATATTCACGACGTAGCTGGCTCCTTTCCCTCCGCTTCCTTTGACTGCCGCTCCGGTACTGCTACCCTCAGCTCTCGTTGACATCCACGACGTAGCTGGCTCCTCTCCCTCCGTTCCCTTTGACTCCGACGCCGGTTCTTCTACCTTCCGCTATCGTCGATATACCCGACGTCAGCGTGTTCTTGTCAACAATGTTATTCACGATGTTGACACATCTTTAGTGGCCGTTGTTGTTTCCGACGACTGCCACATCCCCTGGGAATTATAGCCGCCGTGTATTCGTATCGAACATGGTCTAAGCGGTGTAGGAAATTTTTACGACTTCATGCCTATATACTCGGTGATTAATATACCCCATTTTTGGTTAAACGCCTTTGGTCTGCTCGGGATTAAATCGAGCGCGCCCATCATAACAATATGTTCCGGTTCGTATATGTCCAAACCAGTCCTTGCGCATATATTCTACCGACAGATGTTTGATATGCATCTGCACATCTATGAGATGAAGATGCGAACAAAAAATGTCGGTTCTTTGTTCCCGCAGAAGGAAAGAAACGCGAACCATTTGCCAAAAGATGCCGGACAGTCGTACTGGACGCGTCCGTTATGAAAGATAGGAACAGTATTGCTCGTCCATGCAGTTGTGTGGAACGTGGGGCTTTTACGCATACTATTCGAGCTTTTGATATTGTTTTTTGTCTCTTTGGATAAGCAGTTTTCCCGTGCCGCCATTTATTCAAACATGGCCTCAAAGAAACTCGCCATTTGGTCATTCTCTGATTTGGAATGTCAGCTTTTTAAAATGTCGTCATTCAACAGTTTCTCATTTAGCCGTTCGCTTTTCCGGCATGTCAAGTTTTTGGTGTGCCACCATTGCGCAAATAACCATTAGCAATTGACATTTCTGGCACGTCACAGTTCTTCCATACCGGCATTTTGCAGTTTTTCATTCCGCCCGTTCGATTTTTTGTCGCGTCGGAAATCGCTGCTAGTGGACTTGTAGTCCATGCACCGTGCGAACTGAGAGCGAGCCACTGTAACTAGCTGAAAAATCTATGATGCGTGCTGTGTGAGACATAAATGTTTTATTTATCCGCATAGTGTAAATAAATAACAAAATAGCATGTTAAAGATAGCCTTCGCTTTTAACCAGTGCTTTCTTCCATTTTTGATTGCCTTCATACGTAGGTCAGCGTAACCTATGTGGACACCTCAAGAGGTTCTCAAATCAAAAACCCTCATGCTCTTGGATTTCATCCTGGCAGTCACGTAAGCATCACCATTACCTAAATACGGGAGTTGGTGATGCAACAGACCG